CTATATAATAAAATTAAGACAAGGAAGAGAAACCTATTACTATTTATCACCACTATGTATGTTCCTGATTATTGTATAAAATTCTGCATATTTATATATGCGTGGCGGACGAACTGGAAAAGGACACATCATAAAGAAAGAGCTAATCCATAGTCTATTGTACGATTATTTATTGTTCATTTGTTCGAATTAAATAATGTAACCTACTTCTGCACTATGACAAACACACCTATTCTATACCATAATTTTTACTCTAATAAACAGCAATATTAATTTCCTTTAGAAGAAAAAAAATATATTGGGTGTAACATTTCTATTCATTATGAGCTGATCCTATTGGTGGTTGTGGGCACTGTTTAAGGGATTTTAACGAATTAAGGGAAAACATGGACGCCATTATAGAGGCTCGAGGAACGAAATAAGACTGGTTTATTTATGTTACAGATAGAAGTTGTTTTATTGAATGATGATTCATAGAAAAACAGCCAAGCTACAGCTCAATACAACTGGAACATCAGTCATTTTAATTATCTCGTAGTACGGATTAAGTTGCTATTATTGATAAATGAAAGAAACTCAATTTCAATTTTTGTAAGCTCTCCGTGAGAGTTGAAAATTGTTTAAATAATCTAATGATCAGCTTTTGCTTAAGTTTCTTAAGCATTTGTTCGCATTTTGATTTTATGGTCGTCCTTTTTTATCTTTATACATTGTTTCCGTACAAAGTCACAACTATGGCATATGAAGTATATCACTTGTTTCCGCGATGAGAATCTTGAGAGTTTTTATTGAACATATATTGAATTGTCTCATTAAATCAGTTGAATTAGATTTTCATATAACTCTACATAGCATGGTACAAGAGCATCGTTTGATAGAAACTTCTTGTTAAATCAAAAACTACCTTATTTTCTTCGCTCATAGTGACATAATACTGAAACTGGGGATATCCTATTATTGAAATATGACGTTTGAAATGCTATTGATTAGGATCACATGAGTTAATTTAAAAAGGGTGTGGGTGTGGGTGTGGATGTTGATCTGTTTCTTATTTTGACGCCCACACCCACATCCATATCCACACACCACTCACACCCACACCCACCAACACTCGCACCCACCCACACTCACACCCCCCACACCAACACACTACCCACACCCACACCCTAGCCCTCCTTAATCCATTCTGTACTGGACGAAAAATTAAAAGGAAAACTATTTTTAGATTTATCAAATTTATTTTATCTATTGCAAAAAGTGATGAATCATTACTGCTAATCTTTCATAAAGTGCTCGTTGTCAACAATAAAACATAAGTTTTACTGATGTGCGCAACTAACATAATAAATGAATAGAGTTGAGATCATCCAATAAAAGTGTCATTTAGCCATATTCCCTTTTGAACTTGACCGTTAGCATAGTAAAGTGTACCTTTTCCATTCATATTCCCATCTTTCAATTGCCCCTATAGTTATTCATAGACCGTACCAAACATCTTTTCTTAATACATCGGCCATCAGAATAAATATGGAGAAGATATTTTTGAATGTTAATTCTTGTATCGGTCGCCATTAGGCCATATGAAAACGCCTTTACCCGTCATGTTCTCATCGACCCAATCGCCTGTATATTTTCTTCCATCGGCAAAGTAGCATGTGCCTTTTCCATTTATCTTGTCACCTTTGAATTGTCCCTAGAGTTATTCATAAACTACCGAATATCCTTTCTTAATAGATCAATCATCAGAATAAATATGGAGAAGATATTTTTAAATACTTCTTCTCGTATCGATCGCCATTAGGCCATGTAAAAACGCCTTTACCTGTCTTGTTCTCATCGACCCAATCACCTGTATACTGTCTCCCATCGGCAAAGTAACATGTACCCTTGCCATTTATCTGGTTATCTCTGAACTGTCCCTAGAGTTATTCATTAACTGTACCAAATATCCTTTCTTAATAGATCGATCATCAGAATAAATGTAGAGAAAATATTTTTGAAGGTTCATTCTCGTATCGGTCGCCATTGGTCCAAGTAAAAACGCCTTGACCCTTCATGTTCTCATCGATCCAATCACCTGCATACTTTCTCCCATCGGCAAAGTAGCATGTACCCTTGCCATTTATCTTATCACCTTTGAATTGTCCCTATAGTTATTCATAAACTACCGAGTATCCTTTCTTAGTAGATCAATCATCAGAATAAATATGGAAAAGATATTTTTGGATGCTCATTCTCGTATTGATCGCCATTGGGCCATGTAAAAACACCTTGACCCGTTTTCTGATTATTGACCCAATCACCTGTATACTTTCTCCCATCGGCAAAGTAACATGTGCCTTTTCCATTCATCATTTTATCTTTGAATTGTCCCTAGAATTATTCACAAATAGTATGTAACATCCTCTCTTAATTCATCTGTCATCAAAATAAACAGGGCGAAGATATTTTTGAATGCTCATTCTCATATCGGTCGCCATTGGCCCAGGTAAAAATACCTTGACCTGTTTTCGGTTTATCGACCCAATCACCTGCATATTTTCTCTCGTCGACGATGTAACGTTTGTCTTTTCCATTCATCTTGTGATTTTTAAATTTTTCCCTAGAGTTATTCATAAATTGTACCAAAAAGTGTGTGTGGCTGTGACTGTGGCTGTCAGTGTATGGGTGTTGTTGTTAGTTGAGCGAATATTAAAATTGCCACGCACCACACCAAAACTCACACACATCGACACCTACGCTCCTCCATAACCACATTCACATCAATACCCACAGCTAGAGCCACAGCCACACTTTTTCTGCATAGATTGATGTATTGGAAAAGTGTGACGGATTAAACTGAAATTTTCAGCGATAACTACTAACATTTAGTTAAATATTTTCTGAAAGTTTCAAATAAATGTCCTCATATATGCCTTTTGATTCTTTTTGGGAATAAAATGAAATCATATGGCAGAGATTAATTTCAGGATTTTTAGCGAAATCGAAGTTATACTTTAACGGCTTACAGCATCTACGTATGATGTCATGAACTTCTGGGGAAACGTAAAATGATTGCTTCGACTTAGTGTCGATCAAGGAAAAATACGATATTTGATGCATTGTTTCGTTTACTCCTACATTCAAACACTGATTGAAACTCTGAATCTTACCCAGCAATTTACTTTTCGAAGATTTTTTTAGCCCATTGGGTAGATATAAACAACTTGCAAGATTCTCTTAACGAGCATTTCTATAAACGGTGCAATGGAATCTTCTTCTTCCTAAAGAACCCTTTTTTTTTTGTTTTGTATCAGAAAGTTAATTTCAAAATTTAAGCACTATATAAGGATTAAATACAAAGCTAGAGCATTGTTTAACGGACGACCAGCATAACCTATAACTGAATAATATTCTTTAATTTTTGTAAATATATTTTTACGATTAACAAGTGGTAAATTTTTTTGGAACTTATACTAATTCTGATGTGCCAATTAGAGCTAGATGAAATGTTTCGTTTAACCAAAATTTGAATTTTGGTAACGTACTCATATCTTTTGATTTTGAAACATTTACAATATTCATGTACATGCTATTTTTTTATTTTATATTTAGTACGCTTATTTTCACTATCTGTATTAATGTAAGATTCTAGTTTAGCCTTGAAAATATCCGTTTTATTTTAGAAACGATTCACAAAAGGTGATAGACATCAACGAATTGATTAAGTATACGGAAATTATTTTCTGAAACAATTTACTGGGTAGCATTTTATATATTTTTTTAAACTGACATATGCTTATTGTAAGTATTTGTGTTAATTGTATTTTTTTATAAAATATGTTATAGACCACAAGACCAAACAGGAAAAGCATAGGAGTCGCTAGATTTTGAAAAATAAGATCGTAGCATAAAAGAACAAGCATTAATTATCTAATGACTCATAATTTATTCTTAAAATTTCGTTTAGCTCATGCATTCAAATCTCAACTAAATTCCCATCTCAGTTTTGACATATGTGATGAATTTATTAACCATTAAGAATCTCATAATTTCACTATTGAACCAATATGCTTACACTATTTTACTTTTCCAATTAGTTGTAGACTCAAGGTCATAAGTTCATTTCTATCCAAACTCCTTTGGAGTTATTATCTGCCTATACAAATATTACTTATAATTCTATGCGAATTCATCATTCATGTGAATGGGCATCATAGTCCATTCTTAGCTGAAAAACTGGTAAACATTAGGAATGAAACTCTAGTAGGGTAACCAGAAATTTAAGGATGAGAAGACTGTTCCATGTTCTAAATAACATCATAAATGTCAAGCTTGCCGCAAGTTTTCCAAAACTGATTGCAGTGAGGAGTCGTGTAAAAAAAATTATTTTTCCGAAATACTCTGTTTCGAGAAAACACTATTTTTTTCCACTTAATCAAATTGAGCTAAGTTTAATTCCTCTTGTCTAGTCTATATCTCATTACAATGAAATTTTTGTGGTAATACACACAATTAATCAATTATGAAATCTCAAATCAGGAAAACCATGTGATTTCTAGTTAAATGATATAAAAATAAGCAAAGTAAGTGAAAAATGTAAAACAGTGAGCAGTATTTGTTTGAACACTGTTTTACTATCTTCGTGTATATCAATGAAGGAATTGATCAGACTTTCGCAATGATAAACTCATCGATTTCATTTCTTGCTATGGAATCTATCGTAAATTGACTTCCCTTGTATCAGAAACGGATTGAAAAATAGAATTGGTTTTAAGTTAAGTTTGAGTTTGATGCAGTTATTGACTTAAAAAGTATTCAAAGAAATGACCAGTCAACTTCCAATTCTTTTATGTCAAATCTTGC